CTTATTTTGTCTATCTGATAGCATCAATTATCATTATGGATAATTAAACTAGTACTCCAGCTTGTGAACAAGATTTTCTGTGAATCTGTTAATGAATGACTAGGGATCTCAGAGGCAGGTGCATGGCTTGGTGTGGTAACAAATTTAGTACCTGATACAAGTATTTAATTTTACCTTTCTTCCATTATAAAAGTGATATATGTGTTTGTTATTTCTCTTTTCTACTTATGTTGTTGTTTTTAAAATCACTCATAATTCCAAATATCCACAAATAACAACTACTAATTGTCAGGATGTTTCCTTCCAATCTATTTTCTATGCAAATGAAAATAACATTTAGCAATGATTGTTTCCCTTTTGTAAAAATGCAGTACAGATTTGCAATATCAGATGGCAAAATTCCTATTCAACTGTGTGGGAAAGTGTTTTGGCTGCTTCTCCTCGGGGGAAAAAAAAGCATACTTGACAAAATTTCAGTAAAAAAAATAAATTTCTGCAACTTGACCAAAGAAGAGAGTCCCTGTTACCAAGACCTTGCCAAGACTCATTAGCATGAAAAGTAATCCAATAAAGCTTTTGTGATAGGCAGTGGTGACCCCCAAAACCATAATTACCCAACTAGATATGCTAGACATTATCTTTCTAAGCTCAAATGCACATCTCTAGCAAAGAAGTGTGGATATGTGTATATGATGTATATATAAGCAGATATATAATGTACACACACATAGATATTTGTGTGCACACACATGCGCAAGCACGAATGATTTTCAAATCCTCTTACTCTTTCTACATTTATTAGCTAGTCTCCATAACCTTACTTTCTTTAATCCAAACTCACAGTCAGAAGCAGTTGTGGTTGATGCATCAAGGAACTTTACCTCATTCTCTGACGAGCTTGCAGAGAGGAGCACTTCTTGGGCATCGAAGAACTCAGAGACAGACTCCGACATGGAGAGGCGGCTCTCATTGGCTACTTGCTGCGACAGGGGGAGACTGACATGAATTTGCTCACCAGCCTACAGGAGAGAGAAGCATATGGTGTAATCATTATTGGTACAAAGAATAGCTATTTGTTCAAATTAGACCATGATGTACTAGCCAGATTTCTAGAGAAATTCACAGCATATGTTAAAAGATTTGTGACCACAAGTAATTTTCACGTGCAACTCAGTAAGTGACCACTGCATACATTTCCTTCCAATATGTCTAAAGAATCTAAAAGGCGTAGCTGAAAGGTGCTGGAACTATGGCTTGATTTTAAATTTATCCTTAATTAATATTAACTGGAATTTAACAAGTTGAGTCTCTATCAATACCATGGATTGTGGAGACAAGTTCATTCTCATATACTTAGGTCTGTCATTACTAGCCATATTCTGACCAGTATAATAAACCTAAAGAATTACTTGTAGAAACCACTACAGATATTATAAGAAAACAACCTACAAGACTAATTTTTGAGAAGGAATATATGTCATTTTCATGAATTTTAGCCAAAGAAACATGTGACTAGAGTATTAAACCTTATTTCAAACTGTATTTTTATTCAGTAAGTGATAACTACTGTTCTCAGGGAAGCTATTTAAATTTCAGTAAGAAAAATATGTAACAGAACTTATATACATATATTCTAGTACACATTTCAGGTTGAAAAAAGATTCAAACCGAGATTGTTAACTAATTTGTGAATGACAAAGTTTTAGAAATACTTCCAGACTC